GTACTGCTTTGCTGCCCCTTTTGCCGTTTCCTCCAAGTCCACCAAGGCTCGCCCCGCTCGTCGTTCGGTCCGGGCGCGGTTCCTCCAGTATGTGTAAATGCGACGCAATTGTGTGAGGTCGGTTGTCCACCACCTCTTGGCGTATGGCGATGGCCTTGCTTTCGGGGTCAAGGCTTGGACCGCCTCTAGGACCGCCGACATCAGTCGATCCGTCTGCTGCTGCACGGTGCCCCCAGACGGGGTGGCATCCAGTACCCCTGCAATCCTGGTGTTTATTTTCTTCCAAGGTGCATTCTTGAGGAGAAGTCGGTCCCGTTGATTCGGCACCGGGACCAAGGTAACGCTATACAGTCACTAGCGAAATCGGCTTCCGGTTTTCCCTCTGTTTTCAATTGTCCGGAAGCCTGTTTTTGGGCCTCTTGGCGCTTACACTGTGCCTGTTCCCACCGTCAAATGCCCTGCAAAGTCTAACACAGTGCTTCACTGCCTGCTGACCTGAGCCAGGAGCAAGAAGAGCAGGCAAGCCGCCTCTCCGCCTAGTAACAATGGTTTGCGCTTAGTCTTATTACTGGTTTACTATAACTTTGGGATAGTAGCAGCGGAAGAGATAGAATTAATTGACGCGTTATTCATTACAATAATTAAGACTATCACACTACTGATTGTTCGTTCTCCTTTCGCCATGCCTCTAGAGTTGACAGCGTAGACACGGTGTACGGATGATCGACGCCTAATACCTGTTGCCGGAGATCAAAGCAAGTTTGTAGTAGGCCAAGGGCATCTTCGTGGCGACCCATGTCCTTCCAAATGAAGGCGAGATTGTTCATACCGATCAGAGTATCGGGGTGCCGTTGACCTAGCTTCTTCGAACACAGTTCAAGTGCTTTGGCTTGTAGTACCTCCGCCTCCTCCCACCGGCCCTGGTTCCAAAGCGTCGACGCCAGATTGGCCATGCTGCTCAGCGTATTGGGATGATCGGCCCCGAGCTTCGTCTTGCGAGTCTCCATCACCTGCACAAACAGCTTCTCGGCCTCCACCCACCGGCCCTGGTTGCTGTACGTCGACGCCAGGTTGGCCATGCTGCTCAGTGTCGAGGGATGATCGGCCCCGAGCTTCGTCTTG